CAAAAGAGAGGGCAGCTGGCTCTGGGCTGGAGCAGCCAGCCACAGAAATGGAGGGGGCAGAGGCTACTTCCCTCACAGTGTCCTGCCCATGAAGCCAGGTGAGGAGACAAGGGATATGGGTGGGGCAGACAGAGCGTGGTCCATGGAGGTTCACACAGACTGGGTTCAGAAGGGCTATTGAGAGGGACAGACTAGGGTGAGGGCACAGGAGCTAGTGGGGTGACAGCATTGAGCCAGGGGCTGAAGGGAGTGGCAGTGCAGGGACATGTGGAAATGGAGGAGGAGGCTGTGGGGCCATGGGGGAGGAGAAGTGGCTGAGTGTGGGTGCAGTGACACACTGGAGCAGGGGCAAATGTGTTTGACTGAATGGAAGAGACTAGGAGTTAGCCAGAGTCTGCATGGGGGAGGTTCCCCAACTCCTCCCCACCCCCCCAAAAAACCCCATACCCAACTCTTCCATAATTCTCCTATCCACACACAATAACCCTCCAGGTTCACTGGCAAACTCCTTCCCAGCCATTACTTCCTTCTCCCAGAGCTCCTCCATTACCACAGACTTCCCCAAGCCTTTGCACTGCTTCTGAGGGGTTCAGGAAATACATTTCTGTATTATAGTTAAATGAATTATTACTCAGTTATGTATTCATAGGCCTAGTAAGGAATCTATTTGTCAAAAAACATTTTCTGATTTTTTTTTTGTCTGCATTGTTAGATATATTTGCTGACAAGTATTTGAAATAAATTACCAAAATAATTGAAACTGGTATGATTCTATTGTGTTATTTGACAAATAAAATATTCAGAATTTTGGATAAATTTTAATTTTTTGGCACAGAATTCCCCCAGAAGTAGCAGTAGCTACATATCACAGGTGATAGGTCAGCAGCCAAGGAAAGAGCACTGTTTCTTCCTTCAACAGTTATTTTCGTATGTGGTGCCACAAGGTTAGGTTCTGTTATATTCAGTTTCTTAGACTGAGTGCAGGGTTGATTTACCTTTTTAATATACTTAACTTCCATGATCGCTAGGTTTATTTTTCTGTGGATGTGAATTTTCCATTTATCACCATCTATGCAAGATCCTTCCTCCTCCCCACCAAGGCAAGCTTGCTATGACTCCTTCAAGAGCCAGTGAACAAACCAGTCTGGCCACTCCAGCAAAATGTAGTGTCCTTCTCTCTAGGGAGGGAAGTAGTGCGCTCTGCTACCCCTCTATCAGCATTACTTCAGCCTGTGCCAGTGAGAGAAACAAGGAACTAGCTGCTTTCATTTCAGATTTGGAATGTTTCTGGGGCATGCAATCTCCAGTCTGTCACTGAACAATTTATTCCCTTAAAATGGCAAAGCATGCTGCCCCATTAGGGATTCCTAGCAACGCTTTTTGTTGGACATGTACACTAGTAACTTGTTCTAATACAGCTAGTTAAAACTAGGGAGAAAAATGAAGAACTACAGAAGAACCTAACAAAGCTACATAACTGTAACAATGCTGGGTGAAATTTCACATAGAGAGTGCAAGACTTTTACAGCTATTGTAGGCACTGAAACTTACCAGTGACTACTGTCCTCTGAACTTTACCATAGATAGAAAGCATGTGAGGAATCTATTTACAGTAAGCGCTGGCTCCATCATGCAAACATGTGAAGTCTGAATAGACCACCCTTTTTTACCTAGCTACAAGAGAAGACTTTTGACAGGTTAATTTTAAATTGCTTAAAGCTGTTCATTCAATGTAACCTACATTGGCAAGCAAATTCTGTGGATTGCCTGGAATTGTTGACAGCTGCTTGTTTGTTTTTTCCCAGTAATTAACAGCAGATCCTTCTGTTAGGATGGCTGTGGAGCTGTCAGTCAGACACTCTGGATACAAGATCAGTTATTACATCTACAGCTGGGTGAATGAGGGAGACTGTTTACTAATGTGTTCACATTATGAATCATTTTGATTGGATCAAGTTTGCATCCTTAACTTATCTCAGAGTTCTTTGTAGCTCCCATCTTATTGTCTATAGTTGACTTTATAATGGAATTTGCTCTTCATCCTTCCAAGTTTAAGGCAACTCTAGCTATATTTGTGGGGCTCTGTTTGTTTAAATATTTTTTTTAAAAACCCCTTCCTAGTACAGTGGGAAAGCTGTGACAAAAAGGAGGTTGTTGCAGCATGTTCCAAAAGCTCTAAGACTCAGGACGAGTCTGAACACAATTGTCTAATTGAGGGTAGTTGCTCATCTTCTCAAAGGGCTCATGAGTATGGGGTGCTGTTCTTTCACTCCTCCTATTCAACATATATTTGGGGTTGTGAGGAGTGTTAGTAAGGAGGTATGGGGTGTGGTGGTTTCACTATGCTGGTGATGCCCAACTGTATGTCTGTCTTGTGCAGCTCAGTGCTTCAGCCACTGTGTAGTTGAGATTGGGGCGTGGCTGAGATAGCTGTCTGAAGCTCAAACTAAACAAGAAGGAGGTGGTGATGGTGGACTGTGGGAAGTAGCCAGAGGAGATAGAAGAGGTAATACAGTCCCCTTGAAGTAGTACGTTCCCCATTAGCCTGCCAGAGATTGCAACTTGGGTGCATGTTAGACTTCCTTCTGCTGCTCAATGATTATTGCAACAATAACCAGGTCAGCTTTTGGATGCAGACCCTGCTACTGGTATCTATGCCTTTGTCATCTCAAGAGTCAACTTGCAATGCACTGCACATGGAACTACACCTTACAATTATTTGGAGAATTAAACTGGTGAAGAATGCCCACAGCTCACTTAATGAGCAGGGCATCTTGCGGGGAGTTGCTCCAGATTCCGCATTGCTATCAGCTGTCCTCTGGGTAGAGGTTTAAGATGGTTTTCATTACCTAGAAGGCTGAAGTGGCCTGGGTCTTGCCTACCTGAGATCACCTTTCTCCCTGTTCTATGCTATCACTGCTGTGAGGTCAGCAGTGGCTCTTGAACTGGATCTCCTGTATTAAAAAGAGAGGGGGCTGCTAACTGGGTGTACTCTGCTAGAACTACACGACCTTGGAACTTGCTGTCCCTCCTGGATCCAAAATGGTCTGAACTTGGTGACACTCCATGCACACACACAGCCCTCTGTTTGATAGGGATTTGAGTAAGACATAGGGGTGCGGGTTTTTTAAGAGTCTTTTTTTTTTTTTTTCCCCACTGTGTGCTGTCTGAGATGAGGTTTGATTATTTAAGACTGATGGAATTAATATTTGTATATTCGTATTAATGCTGATTAGTTATCGTAAGTCCAATTCTCAGGCCCCTCAGAGCTTTTTCTATGGATGTTACTCCCCCTCCCCCCAATGTTAAATCTAAAGAAATCTCTGACAACTTATTCAACAATCGGCCCCCTCTCTGCTAAGAATGCTTTCTCTGGCTCTAATGCTTTTCATCCTAATGCTTGTTAGCTGCATTGTCTTGGAATGCAGCTGTCCTAGAGATTTATAAGTGGAGATGAGGGTCAGTGAGGTAGCTGGTTGATGGCCTTAAAACCATTTTTCAAGGTTTTGATCACACAAGACTAATAGCCAGTGGTGAGATTGGAGCACAGAGGTCATGTTCTCACAGCTGTCGATCGTGCTAAGATGAGCTACTGCATTCTAAACAAGCTGGATCCTCTGGATTTGTTCTGCCTCTACCCCCTGGTGCACATAATTCCAGTAATCTAGAAGGAGATGGCTCATGTGTTGATTGTCAGCCCGATCCATCCAAGAGGAAGGGATAAAGTCTAACAGGCTGAAGATGAAAGAAGATATTTCTCCATATTATAGTTGCCAGTCATCTAGGGTTGGTGGTCTACCAGGAGCTCAAGGCTTCTCCTCACTTTGAATGGGGGGTAGGTACCTTAGATTGGAAGCAGGATAGTGACCTAGCTAGTTTTTTGAACTATTTTCCCAACCCAACCCAACCAACTTCACTTAAATCTTGGCTGGGTTTGGTTTGAGCCAGCTGTTCATCCAGATGCCGATTTTTTTTATGAGCATTGGGACATCTTTGTAAAAGAACTGGCAGCAGATAGTTTAGTTAAATGAAACTGACAAGTTGCACTCTCCCTGCAACTAGGACCACAAATGCACATACAACTGTTAATTGTGACAGTGCTGTGCTGAATAGTGATTAGACTCTGTGAAGGGGAAAGAAGGTACTCCACGTTAGCTCTCATCTCCAAATGGCTTGGCATCCAAACTCCAAATCAGATAGTGTTGCTGAGAATTGCTTTTTAGTTTGTGGAGGCTCTCTCACTCAGATTCCTGAATTAGGCAATAAGGGGGAGAAGGAAAATAACTTTTCTGTATCCACCAGCATTTTTTCATTACAGAACAAACGAGGACAAAATTAAAGGTGCTCTTGCATGGTTGTAAGTCAGTTGAAGTGGTAGTGAATGATGAAAAATTATATATGTATTGAAAACTAGTTAAATATCGGCTCTGTTTGTTTCTAGACCCTGGTGTGTGTCATGGGTGTAGAATTTCTGTTAGCTGTTCACGTGAACCTATGATATAGTGTCTTTTTGATGTTAGTTGGGATCTGTTGAAACTCATTTAAAAACGTGAAGGATAAAAATAACTGCTTTGTTTTGAGCAGTCTTCAATAGTTTGCATCTCCTGTTTTGAAAGAAAAAAAATTTAAAACAATAAATTAACTCAGACCTACTTGCTTATATCGTTAACATGCTCAGCACAATAAATCCATAGTGCAACTACTTTTTGCCAATAACTCATCAAATTTGATATCCAGAACTATATAGCTGAACTTTCAACAAATCCAGCTGGCTATTAAATGAAAACCAGGTTAGTAGTTAAACGTCTAATGCATTTAACAGTCTCTTTTATTTTAATATTTCAATAAATTTACAATTTCATGATACATACTATACAAAGAAACTGTCTATTCCAGGGGCTCTTATCAGTTTGTGTATAACTTTCCCTACTGTTTTAACACTTTTAAAAATGTTCCTAAATGCTAACATTTTGTGTGTTTTCATTCATTATTTACAATAGGTGGAATATATGTTGGTAGCTTTTGATCATGAACATAAGAAAGTACGTTTGTCACTAACTGGAGAAGAAGTTCTTTATACACTGCAAGAGAAGGGGGAAAGAGTCAATCCCAAGTAAGTAGCAGTTTCTTTTTATCTCCTTGTGAAAATGCACTATTGTACAATCTTTAATTACATGATCACATATGATTTTTCCCCCATAAGACCCCTGCCTTATTCAGCACACAGGATGGGTGGTGTTCTGGGCAGGAATCAGGTTTGCGTGATGAAGGAGGTTGTTGTCTGTAGGACTCCTGCCTTAGTATTTGTTGCAGAAGTTGGAAGGTGTGTAGTGAATTGGGCAGGGAATTGCAGGAATTAAAAAATAAATAAATAAATAAAAAGGAAGGTCTCACAGTTGAATGTTACCCTGGAGAACTGGATTCTATCCCTACCTCTGCCATGGAGTTTCTATGTGATGCTGGGCAGCTCTTTCTGGCCAACTGAACATTTTGTCATATGTCTAAAATGGAAAAAAAACCAAAACAAATAAAAACAACCCAACCCTCTGGCAGTGCATCTCAGAGCCTCGATCTACAGACTTCAACTTATGCTATAGCACTGAAAAGCCGTTTAGACATTGAGGCTTGGGTTCTGAAGCCTAGGGACAGAGTGGGTTTCACCCTGAGTCCAAACATCTACACAGCTTTTTTTAGCTTCATAGTGTGATCCTCGTGAGCCCAAGTCTGAATCTGTAGAACTCGGCTCTGAGACTCTCTGCCACAGGTATGGGTTTTTTTGTTTTGTTTTTTGCCATGTAGACATGTCCTTAAGTGCATGTTCCCTGTTTTCTCTGTGCCCAACTTGAGATCCTATGGCTGACAACTCAGCTGCAACTTTCCCAAATGGGACTTGTGTTTTCAATATAAAAAGTGCTATAAAAATGCTGAGTTCTCTGAAAAATCAGGCCTTAGGTGTTTCAAGTTGGGCACCTAAAGTTTAGTTGACACTTGACAATTTTGGCTTTTTTGGGCAATCTCTGTTCCCCATCTGTAATATGAAAATAACACCTAATATCACAGAGGTATTGTGAAGACAAATGTTTGAAGCATTCAGATACCGTAAGAGCACAAGAGAAATGCCCAGGAGGAAATTAATAATTTTGTATTCAGAGCAGTATATGTATAGTATATATTAAATTAGGCCTGGGGCCTCATGCTGATTGAGAATAAAAAAGAATATTAAATGTCTGTTCACTGAAAGAGGCAGAGGTCCTGGGGTCAGACCAGGGTTTGAATTAGGGCTACACGTGCAACCTTAATTCTGACTTTTCCTGACTTTTTTGAGTGCTTGACTTTGCAAGCTTATTGTTCTTTTAATATAGGTTAATACAGGTTTTTTTAATGCAGTTGGTGCTGCAGCCCAGCTGGCCTCTACGTCCTGGAGCGCCAGCAGTCTCTTTGCAGGAGCCTGCAACGCACATCCATGCCCTTCGAGTGTCAGCCCAGACTGAGCTGAGCTGCTCCTTTTTATGTCCTGGTTCCAGCTGGAGCATGTCCAGCAGGGACGAGGGGGTGTGGCTTCCTCTGCCCACAGAGTGTGCTTAACGCTTGCTGAACCAGTGTGGGGTAGGTACACACCGTCACAGAAAGCAAAAAGCACATCTGTGACACCATGGTAAGTCCCTGCTCCAAAGCATGGAGGCACTAGAGCTTCTCAACAAAACAGATGTAAGAATTTTGTAACATGGGCAAAACAGTGTATTTTCCCCTACACTTGATCATGGAAAAAACAGAACAGTTTAGCTGAAACTTTAACAGGAAAAATATCAACCTCCAGCATACCCAGCATGCAAAATTTCAGCCCAAATGGTTGAAGTTTGGCAAAGTTGTAAGCAACTTGAAAACAGGATCTTTGCCTAACACTTTCCATAATTATCTTAACTACAAACGGCACTACTAGCTCTGCCTGTAATAGAAATCTGTCACAGTCATACAGCACTTAAATGGTAGAAACTACTACTTCTCTCACATTCTGCAAGATAGGTTTTATCAAATTTCTAATTCCATAGAATTTTAGAGACTTGGTAAGTTTTTGAAATATGCAATCTTTCACAAAGGTTCTAGTCTTCCCTATAATTCATATTTAATAATCTATCTCTTTTGTAGTTGTATAAAAATATTTAAACTATGCTATTCTTCCATTCCAGCCACCCAACACTTTGGCGTCCAGAATATGGAAGCTATATGATTGAAGGGACACCTGGGCAGCCATATGGAGGAACCATGTCTGAATTTAACACTGTACAGGACAACATGAGGAAACGACGGCAGGAGGCTGCTTCTGTGTTGAAAGAAGATGAGGCTCTTTGTACTGTGACATCATTTCCAAGGTTAGATGCTATATTTTTTTTGAGAAGTACAAATGTAAGGTTGTGGGCTGAGTGGCCTCTGTGGGGCTGATGAACACTTGTCATGTAAGTGATTTTCAGTTTGAAAAGAAAAGGAGATGAATTTATCTCACTTCTAGCTCTTGCTGTTCAGGTCAGTCAGTGCAGCTGTGTGTGTCACATAATTTATTTTTGATGATTTGGCTATATAGATAAATCTTGTTTCCCAAAAAGTTATTTCCTGTTGATGCTGATGTGCTTTGCCTAATTTTTCATTCTTGTAGGTCACTTTCAAGCATTCCCCAATAGCTTTGCTTCTTACTGAAGACATTTACTGAAATTAATGCAATATAAAATGAATATAAATTGCAGGCATCTGGAAAGTTTATGAAAAACAATGAAAGCTGCTGTAGTTCTCCCAAGCAGGAGCAGTAAAAAGGGGGTATAGAAATGTGCTTATTAAAATTAATTAGCAGTGCTTGTAGTATCGCCTATTTGTAAAACTCAAAACACTTGGGAAAGGTGAGTATGCATTACTATGCCCATTTTACAGACACTGAAGCCTAAAGAGGCTAGAATTTGCCTCCTGTTTCACAGCAAGTCATTGGCCAAGCTGGAAATAGAACTAGAGTCGTCTGATTCTGAATTTGGTCAGATCAGTAGGCTTCACTCTTAAAGATCAGAGTGATACAGTTTGTCTGGTCATGCAGACTGTGTGGTGTATGCCAGTTAGTGTTAAATGTTACATTTTTATCTGATAAGGCAGCCTGTAATGTCTCAAATTAAACTGTAACAAATGCTACACTACATGAAATATTATGCCAAATCTTAAAAAAATCTTTAACTTTGAGTATCGTAAGGTATGCTGAATTGCTTGTTTATGTGCAACCAGGTTTTATTTTACAACATGGGGGGTTGCTTTAAAAAGCATAGCCTTGGTCATACATAGCATGTGGTGTGGAGTAAGTCAATCACTCACACACTTACCTCCATCTTCGCTACTGTTTGACTTTCTTATTAAAAATTAGATATATATCTTCTACTTTAACAATTTCTGATTAGTGTCAAAGAGAATGATTAGAGGTTATCATATAAAATATGTACATTTCATTGGCTTCTAAGTTGCCGTAAGAATACTAAACATGAAATGTAGGTTTCCCTAAAGCCGTGCAGTTTTCAAATTCAGAAAATGAATTTTACATTACTGTAGACTGAATGCATGTAGTCAAATCAAAGGAGGCTATAAAGGGGAGCTGTTAAGGTACCAAAAAAGGGTGAAACAATGACACAGATAAGACAGCCTCTCAGGTACCTGCTTCAAAGGAGTTAAGACAACAATGGCTGGGCCATCAGTTGGGGGAAGAACCTGCCTGGCTGGCACCATATGGATTAGGATGTTTTTCCTCTTCCTAAGGCTAGGACTGAGATCAAAAGTCCCTGTGAGTTTAAAGAGGTGTTCCTGGCAGAAAGGGGTGGGCAGGGGGTAGTGGACAACTCATCTGGAAGCTGATGGGGGACCCAGAGTTAGCATACAGCGCGGCTGACAGACAGACTTGAGAGCTAGGGTCTGCAGCCACCTTGCTGTAATTTAGTGCCCAGAAAGGACAGGGGACACCAAAGCTAAATCATGTCTGCCTAGAGATTTGAGGGGAATGCCAAGTGTATTTAAGACCATATGCATAGAGATCTTTTTATTTTTTGTGTCTACTTCTCTGAGCTCTGTGTACAGTTTGGGCAAATAAATCATACTTTGTTTCAGAGAAACTGCTTCTGAGTCACTGCATGATATTACTGACCATAGCCCATGAAGGAGAACTCTGGCAGCGTCCAAGTCCAGTTGGACTGCTTGGACTGCTAGGAAACCCGGTTGGCAGCTGGGAAGGTATAACCCGAAGACCCAGTCGAGAGTGGTTGGGTTGTGGTATCCCACTCCAAAGAGAAGTGGAGGCATGGACCTGCCACTTGAAAGAGGTGCACTCAAGATCTCAGAAAGGGCAGGTTGTCCAGGGATGTGACAATAGGCGACTCGTAAATCTACCATAACTGAAAGATGAGGGGGATTATTTTGGTATACTTTGTGCATTTCACAACACTTTGTTTAGTCTATTTCACTGTTACGTGTGCATTCAGTTTTCCATGTTTGTGTGAGTGTTTCATACAGCAGAGGGAGAAGAGCATTTTTAATTTGTAAAATCACAAATTGGCAGGGGGTCCTGGGACATATGTAGTATCTGAAACTACTACTTACTCTTCTGAAATTAACTAGTTTTCAGGTTGACTTTGTCCCTTTAACAATGACAAGTAAACTATTGTAAACACTACTGAAATAGATTACTTTAGGGATTTGAATTAAACAGTACCATAAAAAGGAGCAGTTGAGGGTAGAGAATGTCATTGCATTTCACTTTTAATAATCACGAGTGCTAATGCATACTATGACATACATGAGGACTAATTTTCTAAAGCTTCTTTTAGTGTTTGCCATTAAAAAGTGAGTATTTACCATCCATTAACACATAGTGGTATGAGATTCCACTTATTGCAACCACAGTCTATAACTGTGGTAATTGTTGGCAAATACTGACCTTTTAATAGTGACTGCCATAAGGCCCCTTTCTGTGTTAATGACTACTGGTGATTAGGTAACACTGAAAAGTGCCTTAGAAATACCTACGGTAAATATATTTTTTTCACCATTTTTATTCCTTTGTCTATTAAGATCCTAGTCTCACCTAACCACAGGGCATTTAATAACATAAAATTATAATCTATTTAATTTATGATTTACTCAAATTGTCATCTATAGATTAGGATGTCCTGGATTTACGCTACCGGAATGTGAGCCGACGCCAGTAGAAGGAGGCGCTTCAAAGTCTCTCTTCTTTCCAGATGAAGCTATCAACAAACATCCTAGATTTAGGTAAGAGTGAGTTTTGAAGAGAAAGAAGAACAACTCTTTATGTATATATTTAATACACTATGATAAAATTGTGTAAGTGGAATGCAGAGCTATGTGAATAATTGCTGTACAAGTCCCAGGGACATAGACAAAGATGTAATGTTACATATTTACTATCAAGGTGACCTATAAAGGTAAATCACAATTTCAGCAACTTTAGCCTGATACTGGCAGAATCCACCACATGGTTAATATCATTCAGTACGTTACCTTAAAATTGACTGTTTTCCTTAAGTCCTGGCACAGTCATCCCACTCCTGCTCAAAGTGAAGTCCCAACGTTCATTATTTTGGAAACATCACAACCATCTTGGAATCTAACTGGAGCATGGAGCCAACCTATTTGAGGTGGACAATATTGTGTAGTTTTGCAGAGGCTTTTATTACAGCATAAGACTTAACCTTTGCAAAACTTCCCTTGCCCCATTCTCCCATAGATCATAGGCTTCTTTATTCTGCTTGTGATATTATTGTCACAAAAAATAGAATTGACTTCAGTGAAGGACCAAATCTGCTACAGTACAAATGAAAATGAGTGAGAGGCTAAGTGGACAAATGTTTGGAAGTTTCTCCTGGAAAAAGCATTTAATCTAAACTCTTTAAATTTTAGTACTCTGACCAGAAACATTCGACACCGAAGAGGAGAGAAAGTAGTGATAAATGTACCAAGTGAGTAAATGCTAGTGGTTTTCTTCAAGTAATTGATCTATGTCTGATACTTTACTTACTGAATACTTGTATTTTCCTCACAGTATTTAAAGATAAGAATACTCCATCACCACTTATAGAAACATTTCCTAAGGATGATGGAGAAGCAGCAAAAGCAGCTAAACCAGACCATATATATATGGATGCCATGGGTTTTGGAATGGGCAACTGCTGCCTTCAGGTAAAATACATCTGAGTCTCAAAATGTTGTAAAATAATGCAATGACATTATCGGCCCTATAAATTTGCAAATAGCATCACACTGTGTAAGATACATTCTCAAAATCCAGTTGAGGACAGTCCACTGTCCACAGTTCACCGTTGTCTAATTTTATATTGTAACTTGATAATTTGCCAATATTTAACTTCTTTATAGAAAGGTTATATTCAATTTATATTGTTGGTAGGGCCCATTTTTAGTCTTCATTGATAAAGAGAGCAAGGCTTGGAACACGGTTTGCGTGTCTTGATGATTGTGCTGAATAGGCCCCTTTATTTAGCCAAGCACCTTGTCTTGGAGCTCCACCACGTTAAGGTGTGGAAGACGTGCAGATCAGGACTGAAGTATGTTTTTGGATTGGTGAAAAACCTTAAGCAGAATCTCACGTCAGTCCTTAGCAGGCCACACTTTGAGGAAATAGGTGCAGGTCACCCAGCTTGCAGGTGGACTTTTGAGAAAGGGGTCAAAAAACTAAGAACAGGGTTAGGGAAAGCTCTCTGGAACATTTTAAATTACAGAGCACCTTTAAATAAATATAAATGCCATTGCTATTTTTTTATATTTTACACCTGTGTAAAATTCTTTCTTCATAGATATTTTTAGATGTGTTCTTTTCTTTAACCATGCTGTGAACCTCCTAATTAATCCACACAGGTATTTTTCTGCCATTATTTACTAACAGGCACGTAATCCTTGCACAAGCAAATCTTCCCCTCTGTACCTTTCCATCTCTCTTCCCTAGTTACTAATTTGATTTTTACTTAAGATAGAGTAACAGTTTGGCATTTCACAGTGCTCCAGTACCTTTTAAATTTGGTTATTCTGAGTGTCACTCTACTGTAGTAATTTTGCACAAAGGGCTGATGGCTGAGGTAGTTCCTTGTGTTGGACTTTGTGATGATAGCTTCTGTCTTTGTTGTTGCTTTTTTCTTGGTAACCAGGAAGAGATCATTGTTATGCCTCCATGGAATTAAATAGAATCTTCTACGTGCTTCTTGTTTCGCAGCGTTCTGTAGGCTGCACTTGTAGTATTCATTTCAAAACACCTTTGTTCCAGATTAAAAGACTAAAGAATGAATGAACGAACAAAAAATAAAATCTCACTGACAGCGAGTTACACATCATTGAGGGGAGAAAGCTCACTACAAACGCAGCTACGGAGGATCCATGCAATAATACATCCAGACTCCTTTTGCAGTGTTAAACATTTATATGCAGCATTAATTCTTTAAATATGTCCATATTTTCTATCATCTTTATGTATGTCACCTAGGAAGGGAGTACTGCAGAAAGGGATCTGGGGGTCATAGTGGATCACAAGCTAAATATGAGTCAACAGTGTAACGCTGTTGTAAAAAAAGCAAACATCATTCTGGGATGTATTCGCAGGAGTATTGTAAACAAGACACGAGAAATAATTCTTCCGGTCTACTCTGTGCTGATTAGGCCTCAACTGGAATATTGTGTCCAGTTCTGGGCGCCACATTTCAGGGAAGATGTGGACAAATTGGAGAAAGTCCAGAGAAGAGCAACAAAAATGATTAAAGGTCTAGAAAACATGACCTATGAGGGAAGACTGAAAAAATTGGGTTTGTTTAGTCTCGAAAAGAGAAGACTGAGGGGGGACATAACAGTTTTCAAGTACATAAAAGGTTGTTACAAGGAGGAGGGAGAAAAACTGTTGTTCTTAATCTCTGAGGATAGGACAAGAAGCAACAGGCTTAAATTGCAGCAAGGGAGGTTTAGATTGGACATTATAAATATGTCCATATTTTCTATCATCATCAAAAACTTACACGGCTGCTACTCTGAAACCTGTCATCTTTATGTATGTCACCTAGGAAGGGAGTACTGCAGAAAGGGATCTGGGGGTTATAGTGGATCACAAGCGCATGTAATGGGACCTAGTATAAGTGCCATAGCTGGCACTTGTCCCAACATCTTCATTGTTTTCTGGATGCTTGATGTATTTCCTCTCCAACCTTGTCAAATTTCAGTTTATGGGTGCACTTCTCATAGCATGTAAGGTGCCACTGAGCGTTGTGTTTAACCAGGTGAGCAGTGATAGTACTCAAAGATTCAGCAGTTAGTCAGTACTCTTTGTCTCCCCGTTTATGCCTAAAAATGATCACGGCCAAATTAAAGAACAAGGATTTTGTAATACATGACAATTACAACCCTAAAGTTATTTAATGTATGTTATGTAACTATGGGTATACCACTTGTGAGTGGATTCAAGTGATTTCTGGCTTAATGCTGACCTCTTAATCTCAATAGATCTTTTGGCATAATAAACAAAGATGATAATCAGTATCACTGAAACATTTCTTTTTTGCTGCTGCTGTCAAATCAACTTGAAGCACTTCTTCCATTTACATTAATCTGTAACATTAAATTAATCAGGTATCATGTTCTGAGCATTAGCTGATAACACAGTACAGTAAGTTAAGAATTGAGAGACTTAAACCAGCTTTTGACAGCAGTAGCCTCTTCTGTAGGTGAAAAGAGAATTTCTTCATTTCAGTTTATTCAGGTATGTCTACACAGCAAAGAAAAACCTGTGGCTGGCCAGTGCCAGCCGACTTGAGCTCGCAGAGCTCAGGCTGTGGGGATGTTTCATTGCTGTGTAGACTTAGCCTAGAAGGCTACACGGTAATGAAACATCGCTGCAGACCAAGCTGGCTGGCACGGGCAAGCTGTGTGTTTTTCTTTGATGTGGTACCCTTCAACTAGTTTAGTTAACTTTGAATGAACTAGTCATTGAACAAACCAATCGAGAGTTGAAAATGCAGGAAAGTTGAGGTTTTTTCTCCCTTCTTCCAATCTATGAATAAAAACTAGGTGTGAAAGGGTGAGATCTACTAAGTCTAATATCGTGAAGGACATGGTGACCAGAAACAATCAGTTCTATTCACTAACTACAGATGATACTCCTTTGCTTAAAATTGATTATTTAAATCCCTTTAGTTTAATTTTATCCACCTTACTTCCATATCTGTTAAATTGGTTGCAAGCAAAACTAACCTAGGGAAGATCCCACTGAGTGCTCCTCTTAAAAAAAAAAAAAAAAAAAAAAAAAAAAAAAGAGGCAGGGGTAAAACTAATTTGTATGTCTTGTTCCAGTGCTAAACGCTTCTTTTGAAAGAGGCTTTCAAAGTTTATTTTACTGTTCCTTGAAGGGAAATATGTGGGGTTCAGTAGTAGAGATCATGGGATTGTGGGGGAGGTGTCTATATTTTACACAGTTTCAATTGTAATTTCTTCAGGAGGAAAACTGGCAACCTTGTAATGTTGCAGTTAATAATGTTTGTTGTGATAGTGCCTAAGGACCAACCAGGAGTGGGGCCCAGTTGTGTTAGGCATTGTACAAACAGAGTAGTAGACTGTCCCTGCTCTAAATAGTTTGCTATCTAAATATTCGAGGTAGGCGCAGGGTTGGGGAAAGGGTATAACATACAAGCAGAGAGAACGGTGTGATGGCAGCAAATGTCAAGTTGGTTTCACAATTTTTATTGAAGGGTTAGGGGAGGGGATAAACTAAATGGAAAGGTAAGTGGGGGGGGAATGGGGAAGAGGGTAAAAGGGGCAGGTGTAGAATGAAGCTGAGGTGAAGAGACTGTGAGGAAAGGGGAGTGGGAGGGTTGAAGCAAACAGCCAGTCAGCACAGGGCAGAAGCAATCCAGTCAAAACTGTACAAACTTCTCCCGGTTGCCCAAAGGTCCCTGCTTTAGCTGCCCTGGCCAGCTGGAGTTTCTGGTGGCCTCTCTGCAGTTTTCTCCCAAGCCCACATGGGGGAAGTACCCCCTATGTGTTAGTGTTCCCAGAGTGTTGAGGTGGTCTTGCCTACACAGTTCTAGGTCTAATGGAGTGCTGGGGGAGGGGTAGCCCCAGCTGGATCCCATTTTATCCTCTCTCTCCCCTAGTGCAGCAATCTCTGCTACGTGAGTTCAAGTGGTGACAAAGAGAGTACAATTATCTTGGGGATGGTTCCTGTTTTTGTAATGTCACAAAGTTTAAAGCGGAGAAACAGGAGGGAAAAAGCCTTTTCAGTAACTCATGTTTTGTCTACATGGAGACATAATGCACAGCCAGCAGGGCTCTCTCTAATACGGGCAAATGTACATTTTTACAGAAACTTTAAATTACACCAAAGCACTTGCATTTCCCCCCCAGTTTTACAATAACCTATAATTAGGCTGGAGCTCACAAAAGGATCTTGGATTAAAGGATTCTGTAAAAACAAATTTACCTGTAATGTCAAATAAATGCTATGACTTGTAATCCTTTCTGACTGTGTTTCTTTGAGGGAGCTGGCTTCTGGAATGCTGCTTAATGGGTGTATTAGCAGCTCATGTTCATTAGAGATGTTAGTCCTCATTTCTTTTGGTCCTGGCTAACATTTGAGCTACAGCCCCAGCATCTGAGTGCCCTTGTAATGCAACCTAAAATCTTTGATGAACATTGAAGTGTTGAAGTTTGTGACATGGTTGCTACTGGAAACACTGGCAGCAAAGATCCTCAGTCCATGGACAAATTAAAATAGACAGTGGAAGTGACTTTCAGAATACCGCTGGTTCCAATAGATGGTCTAGAGCCTGCAGACTTGCTTTTGTGTAATAATCTTACTTCTTCTACCAGGTAACATTCCAGGCTTGCAGCATTTCTGAAGCAAGATGCCTTTATGATCAGCTAGCCCCAATATGTCCTATTGTGGTGAGTAATAGCATGTTTGGCGATAAAGTTCTATTTACTGTACAAAAAACATAAAGCTTAAAATGTCCTATAAAAAAGACCTTTCTATCTTCTAGTTACAAACCTAAATAAATTAGTGCATCAGGTAATCTTTTCTACCAGTGTTTTGAAAAATATGGTCTTCAGCAAAAATGGAAAGTGCTACATTAGGTGGTTGTACAGTAACAGTAGTATATCTGGGGGGGAAATCTATAACTAATGTGCTGATTGCCATAGTACATGTGTGGCTTATTCTACTCGTAGGCAGAAATTAACAAAACAGTTTGGCTGCAGAAGTCACGTCAATTAAATTATTTTTGGGGTTTTTTAGTAACTTTTACCAAACTGTAAATGACTGTGCTCTCATGTAATCTTGTAACATGTACAGGATATACTTTTTAAAAAAGTAAACTAAAATAATCAGGCTTTATTTTATAGCAAACAAACAAAAGGCAAGCCTCCTTTCCAAAGAGCTTACAGTCTCAATTTAGGCATGACATGATGAAAAGGTAACAGTAAAGGCAAATGGGGGAGTGATAAAGGGCAAAGTTTATAAGTAACTTTTTCAAAATGTTAGGAGCTTTAGTTCCATTTTCAAATGTGAATCTGGCAGCCTGTTTTGAAAGGCTGTTAGGCAAACTGATTTTTTTTTTTTTCCCCCGAACAATTTTTCACAGGGTTGGCAAAAAGCACATTCTTGACATTAGGGCAATGCACCTGCCAAATTTCAAGTCCCACTCCAAAGCAAGGAAGCACTAGACTTTCTCAATGAAATGGTTGTAAGAATTTTTCAACATGTGTAAAATGTATTTTTTCCTTACTTTTTTCATGGAAATGGCTGAACCGTTTTTGCTGAAACTTTCCAAAAGAATTTAGCTTGAGGCAGACACCCTGCATGAAAATTTTCAGCCCAGATGGTTTAATTCTGGTAAGATTTGTATAAATGACAGAAAACAGTGTCTTGTAATGGGGAGTGTTAGGCAACCTTAATATTATAGGCTCCAACTACCAGCTTGGACTTACAGATACAGCTAGAGTAGGCTAAATGAACTAATCACTTCAGTAATAACTGGTCATTGAGTTTAACAAGATAAAATGTTGGTCAAATTAAGTTTGCTGACAGAAGTGGAAGTATGGTAGCACAATATTTGTTTGTCCATTATGAAATTATTTCTGTAGATCTCACGTTGTAGCTCCTTAAATGTGGATCTATAGAGGCAATATATTTGGAGAACATCAGCTACTAGGTAAATAACTCTCCTTTCTATGTGGTCGGTTAATGGCAATGGCTTCTGAAGAAGAAATGTGCTGTCCTGCATCAGCAGAGGGTTGGTATAGCAACAGCATGGGGGTGAGCAAAAAAAATCACTCCCACTCCTGCCCCCAATAATAGTTTGGGCTCTGAGTACATAATACATTTTTTTATAGGCGTGTGTATACAGGAGCTCAAAAGTAAACTTTCTGTACAGTTCTTTGAGTGCTTGTTCACGTCGATTCCAATCAGGTGTGCGTGCGCCGTGTGCACGGTCATCGGAAAGTTTTTCCCTTAGCAGCTCTCGTTGGGTCGGCTGGGGAGCCCCCTGGAGTGGCACCTTCATGGCGCTCAATATATGACCCTGTCGACCTAACCCCCCTTCAGTTCCTTCTTACTGTCCGGGGCAGCTGTTGGAACTGTGACTCCCTTGCTTTGCAAGTGCTCCCTTAGCGCAGTTACCTAGTCTAGTTCTTCTTGTTTTCTAGTTTTGTAGTTGTTAGTATAGTTATAGTTAGTATAGGTGTTTGAGTGGGATCTTCCCAATCCCCTCATGCCTTCTTGGGCTCTGGGGCATGCTGTGAGCCCAAGGCTTTAAGTCTTGCAGCTCATGTCACAAGCCCATGCCAAATAGTGACCCCCATTACACTTGCCTGGGGTGTCTGGGGGAGGTGCATCAGACTGAGCGCTGCAAAATCTGCAGAGTTTTTAAACCTAGGACAAAAAAGGAGTGGAGTTTCCATTTGAAGCAGCTGCTCATGGAATCCTCACTTCATCCAGCGGCTTCAGACCGCCAAGGCTTGGGCCCAAGCACTTTGGTGCGGAGCGCTCCGGCATCAGTTCACGACTGTGGGCTGAGGAAGGACTCTAGTGCGAGAGGCCCTCAGCACCAGTGATCCCTGGCACCACAACAGGGAGCAGCAGCCTGGCACCACTCAACTTCCCCAGTGCCCTGCAGGTGGCATAAAAAGACAGAGAGGGCGCTCTCCTCAGAGAGCTGCAGGACTGCCAGGGGACGCTTTGCTGCACCCGAGAAAGGACCCAGCTCCCAGACAGCAAGAGTCAGTGCCGTTGACTCCGGCGCCCCAGAAGGCACCGTCGAGTCTGGCACATTGCGACTCTCCAGCAGGGCAGTGCCAGGTGGAGATGTTGGATCCACCGTCCATCCCAGACACATTTGAAGCAGCAAGAGATCTCCTACAGACAACTGCAGCTCAGCCTCCAGTTATTAGGGACAAGCCTCCGGTACCATCAAGACCAGTACCATCCAGAGGCAAGCCCGCCATGATGCGGCATTCCCAGTCACCGGACCGGCACCGCATCCGGTACTGTTCCCAATCCCGGTCACCGCAACATCACTCCCTGGCACAGAGTCCAGCGGGAACACGCCCGGCACCGGGAACACGGCAATCTATCTCCACGAGGATGGATTGGCACCGGTCCACAACACCTTTGCAGGACTGGCACCAACAAGCGGCACCGGAGCCCAGCAGGTGATCGCCGGCACCAGTCCCCATCATCAGACCATTGGCGCCAATTCTCGACGAGATCATTGTGGCATTGGTCCCCTGCCTCTTCCACTCAGCACCCTCGGGCTCTTTAGAGTCTGACGCAGACTCGTATTATTCGAGGCCCAGTCAATGAGTCGGACAGATGCCGAAGGGATGCGCATGCGGCCTGGCAGCCATAGTGGCATCTTCCCATTCAATGGCCCTTTTGGACCCCCCGTGCTAACCATCTTGCCCAGGGTACCCCGTCCAGAGGCTCTAGGTCTGGTGGCATCCCGAGGTCACATTCCCAGTCACCTAGAGATAGATCTGCACCTCGGGGAGCTGAAGCTGCCCTCTCCAAGCCGCCTCCTCAGACTGCAGAGGTGGGATCGGAACCATCTCAGGACCTGCCACTAGTCCACGAGACAGCCGCCCCGACTGAGCCAGTAGTGGAGCCTGGTACAGTCCAGGAGCAACCCAGGCAGCTCGAGAGCCAGGAGAACCCTGTACCACCACTTGCCACCTCATCTTCCTCGCCCGATGAGGCAGTAGCAGAGGCATCAGCTTCAGGGCACCCGCCTATTGACCACAGGGCACACCAAGACCTGCTCCATCGCATTGCCCACAACATGGGCCTGCAGGCAGTGGAAGTGGTCGAGACAGAGGACCCTATGGTAGACATTTTGGCCCCAGAAAGTCCTTCCTGGGTGGCGCTACCACTGATAAAGACCGTCCAAAACACTAACAACACCCTGTGGCAGACTCCAGTCTCCACTCCACCCACTGCCAGGTGCGCAGAGAGGAAGTACTTTGTCCCTTCCAAGGGCTATGAGTACCTCTTCTCGCACCCACGCCCTTGCTCCCTGGTGGTCTCGGCGGTAAATGAAAAGGAGCGTCAGGTGCAACAGGCACTGGCCTCCAAGTCTAAGGAGGCTAAACACATGGACCTCTTCGGCAGGAAGATCTATGCCGCAGGGGGCCTCTAGCTTAGGATAGCCAACCAGCAGGCTATCCTCAGCAGGTACAACTTTAATTCTTGGACTTCTATGTCCAAGTATAAGGAGTTGCTTCTGGCGGAGTCAAGGGCAGAATTTTCCGCCATAGTTGAGGAGGGAAAGGCAGTAGTGAGGACCTCCCTACAGGCCTCCCTTCACACGGCTAATTCAGCTGCCCGTACTCTCTCCTCCGGGGTGGTAATGAGAAGAACTTCCTGGCTCCAATTGTCCGGATTATGTCTGGCAGTCCAACAGACTTTGCAGGACCTTCCCTTCGAGGCTGCAGGGCTGTTCTTGGACCAGACCGACTCAAAGCGGCACAGCCTGAAGACTCTAGGGCAACTGTGAAGTTGCTGGGGATGAACATGCTGGCTACCCAGTGCAAGCATTTCAAACCTCAGCCGCAGCAGCAGAGGCAGTACCAGCCCCACCCAAGGCTTCTACCGCCGTAGGGGCAGGGACAGGGCCCAACCAAGCCATCGTCAGGCTCCAAGCAACAGTTTTTGAAGGGACTCCCAAGGATGGCGTACCTGCTGTGATGTCAGATCCTTCCCCGTGCTTCATGAATCGTCTGTCACACTTCTACCGTGCTTGGTCACAAATAACGTCGGACCGCTGGGTGCTTCGCACGGTAGAAGTGGGATAGTCTCTCCAGTTTTGCTCCTTCCCTCCCTCCTACCCCCCTTCCCCGTCCCTCTTCAGGGATCCTTCTCATGAGCAACTCCTTATCCAGGAGGTGCAATCGCTCTTCGCCATAGGGGCAGTGGAGGAGGTTCCTCAGAAGCTAAAGGGCAAGGGAGACTGGTACGCCGCCCTCAACATGAAAGATGTGTACTTTCACATTGCCATTCGTCCAGCTCTCAGACATTTCCTGTGGTTTGTGGTTGACCACAAACACTATCAGTTCACGGTGCTCCCATTTGGTCTATCACAGTCCCCCGAGTGTTCACCAAGTGCATGTCAGTGGTCACAGGTGCAGGTGTATTCCTAGCTCAATGACTGGCTGCTGCAGGGATGCTCCAGGGAGCAGGTGGAGTCTCAAGTCCGGTTAGTCAGAGCCACTTTCGACAGACTAGGACTCCTCAACATGAACAAGTCAACGCTGTCACCGACCCAAAGAATAGAATTCGTTGGGGCGGTGCTGGACTCGGTACAGGCGAGAGCAATCCTGCCGGAGTCCCGATTCCAATCAATCTCAGACATCATCCAGACTCTCAGGTGATACCCCACCACAACTGCAAGGGGATGCCTGAGTCTCCTTGGCCACATGGCAGCTTGCACCTACGTGGTCAGGCATGCCAGACTGAGGCTCAGACCACTCCAGGCGTGGCTCGCGTCAACCTATCACCCAGGACAAGACAACTTGGACTCGGTAGTGACAGTGCCGGAGCGAGTTCTAGAATCCCTCCCTTGGTGGCTAGACCCTTGCACGGTCCGCGAAGGAATCCCCTTCAACACCCCTCAATGCTCCATGACCCTAGTAACAGACGTGTCAGCTCTGGGTATGGGGGCCCACCTAAGAGATCTCCAGACACAGGGTCTGTGGTCACAGACTGAGCTCTCACTCCACATCAATATCAAGGAGCTCAGAGCTGTGCGACTAGCTTGCCAGACCTTCCAGTCCAGAATACAGGGCCAGTGCGTAGCGGTGATGACCGACAATACCACCACCATGTTTTACATAAGCAGGGCGAAGCCCACTCCTCCCATCTCTATTGGAAAGCTCTCCAGCTTCAGGAATTTTGTATAGCCCACTCCATTCACCTGGAGGCGTCCTATCTCCCAGGAGTTCAGAACGAGCTTGCAGACCACCACAGCAGGTTGTTTCACAACCACAAGTGGTCCATCCATTCAGACGTCATACATTCCATCTTCCAAAGGTGGGGGTTTCCCCAGGTCGACCAGGAGCAACAGGAAGCATCCAATGTTCTGCTCTTTCCAAAAACACAGTCCGAGCTCCACCTTGGATGCGTTCGTGCTACCCGGGGGAGGCCAGCTCATGTATGCCTTCCCGCCGGCTCCACTCGTCCACAAGGTGCTGCTCAAGATCCGCAGAGACAAAGCAAAGGGAATTCTGCTGGCCCCAGCGTGGCCATGCCAACATTGGTACACCACACTTCTGGAGCTGTCAGTGAACACCCCGATCGCACTGCTGCTCTACCCCGATCTGATCACACAGGACCACGGTCACCTCCTTCACTCAGACCTCCAGTCCCTTCATCTCATGGCTTGGAAGCTTCATGGTTAAACCCAAGAGAGTGCCAGTGCTCGGAATCGGTGGGGAAGGTGCTGCTTGGTAGCAGGAAACCTTCCACCCAGGCCACTTACCTAGCCAAGTGGAAAAGGTTCTCGTGCTGCTGTGAGCAGCGGCGCACACCTCCACTTCAGGCATCTATACCGCTCAACATGGAGTATCTACTGCATCTAAAGCAGCAGGGATTGGCAGGATTGTCCATCAGGGTACACCTCACGGCTATCTTAGTGTTCCACCCGGGAGAGTTGGGGTGCTCTGTGTTCACCAACCCCATGGTAGGGCGTTTCCTGAAGGGCATGGAAAGGCTATATCCACATTTGTGACCACCTGTACCTGCTTGGGATCTCAATCTGGTCCTCTCCAGGCTAATGGGAGCCCCTTTTGAACCACTGACAACATGCTGCCTTCTGTATCTCTCATGGAAAGTGGCATTTCTGGTTGCCATCACGTCAGCCAGGAGGGTGTCCAAGCTAAAAGCACTACATGGCCTTCCATAAGGACAAAGTACAACTCAGGCCTCACCCAGCATTCCTGCCCAAGGTGGTGTCTCAATTGCACATTGGCCAAGACATCTTTCTGCCAGTCTTCTATCCCAAGCCTCATGCTAGTGCGCAGGCGCAGAGGCTTCAATCACTGGATGTCCGGCGCGCGCTAGCATTCTATATCGAACGCACAATGCTTTTCAGGAAATCGAGCCAACTGTTTTTGGCGGTGGCGGACCAGATGAAAGGGCTTCCAGTCTCTTCTCAACGCATGTCTTCCTGGATCACGGACTGCATCTGTACCTGCTACGAGCTGGCTAAGGTCCCAGCCCCAGCTATTACAGCCCACTCGACAAGAGCACAAGCCTCATCAGCCACCTTCCTGGCCCAGGTGCCCTTCCAGGAGATCTGCAGAGTGGCAACCTGGTCTTCCGTGAATACGTTTACCACTCACTATGCCATCACCCAGCATGCCAGAGAGGATGTAGCTTTCGGCAGAGCAGTTCTCTGATCAGGGATTCCTTAACTCCGACTCCACCTCCGGGGGAGAGCTTGGGAGTCACCTGATTGGAATCGATGTGAACAAGCACTCGAAGAAGAAAAAATGGTTACTCACCTTCTCGTAAGTGTTCTTCGAGATGTGTTGTTCACGTCCATTTCAATACCCCACCCTCCTTCACCTCTGTCGGAGTAGCTGGCAAGAAGGAACTGAAGGGGGGTCGTGTCGGCAGGGTCCTATATCCAGCGCCATGAAGGCGCCACTCCAGGGTGCTCCCCAGCCGACCCTACGGGAGCTGCTAAGGGAAAAACTTTGCGACGACCATGCATGCGGCGCGCGCACACCTGATTGGAATGGATCTGAACAACACATCTCGAAGAACAACAGTTACAAGAAGGTGAGTAACTGTTTTTTACATTGTGTTGGTGGTTTTCATTTGTTTTGTCCCGTGTTCTCATGTGTGACTTGGTTTTATTTTAGATGGCATTAAGTGCGGCAGCTCCATTCTACAGAGGCTACGTGTCGGATATTGACTGTCGCTGGGGAGTAATATCTGCATCAGTAGATGACCGAACACGAGAGGAGAGAGGATTGGAGGCAAGTGAATACTAGTTTAAAGAGTAAAAGTTAAACAATTTTCTGGTTATTTTAGTTATACAAGTTCAAATATTCTTTGAATATCACTGAGTACTTAGTGGCGAGAGATTGTAGTCTTTGTTGCACATGATTCTGAAGGTGTAACTTTCACCCTAATTATTGTTATAGCATCCACAGTAGCAAACGTTATAGTTGAGTATAGAATTCCTTTTAAACTCCACTTTCACTCATTGACAATTTCCTGAGAAGTTCTTCATTTGGTGCTGCCGCTTCCCTTTCTTTGCCTCAACCCAAAAGGTGATTTGTTTAAAAAACAGTGTGTATATGGTAGCCCTGTATTACATGATGTGTACTTCTGTAGATGGTCTCTGATAAGACTGTAAACCACGACAGCAATGCTAAAGCATATGGTCACCAGAACTTAGAATCATAGAAATGTAGGGCTCAAGAAGTCAAGTCCAGCCCCCTGCATTGAGGCAGGACCAACTTGAACGTATAGAACTTCTTTTACAGAGAACGGACAGCAGAGACCATCTAGAGAATTATAATTTTTTTAAAAAAATCTAAACTTATAAAAATGTTCCAGTAGAAAATTTTGTTCAGTATTCTGACAAGTATATTTGTTTACATCAATACTAATATAACCATGATGTCCCAGTATACCTTTTTGGCAAGCCACCCATTTTGAAATGTGCCATGTTATCCAGATGAATTCCTTTTAAACTGTTAGGATAGGGTAGTCAATACAGTGAAGTGACTTTTATTCAAATTATCATAAATGGGGAAACAAAGTTGGGTTTTTACTGACAATTACTTTTCATTAAGCTTGTTAATTATATACCCTTTAAACTGCTAAATGTACTTAAACTCCATAAGATTCTTGTTTAATGGAACTTTTCAATGTACCTGCCCACTATGATTTTCCTTATTTTTGAAGACCTATGAATTTAATTTAGATTGTTTAAAAGCAACTTCTGTTTAACAGTTCTCCAAGAATAGTGTAATTAGTAAGGTAACATTGTTTACAAGCTCTTAAAATATTCTATTTTTAAATTATATAGCCACTGAAGAACAACCATTATAGAATCAGTAAATCCAGATATGATTCCATAGACAGTTATCTATCTGAATGTGGTGAAAAATACAATGACATTGATTTGACAATAGATAAAGAAATCTACGAGCACCTAGTAAAGGAAGGTAAGTGTTTCACTCATTGTGAGTCAGTTTAGTCTTATGCCTGTAGTTTTCTTTAGCTTTTTTTTTTTAAATCTACCATACTTTTGCATTGACTATGCACTCTTAGTGGAGATGTGCACTCATTAAGCATGTGGTAGTCTGGCCTATAGGTAATGCCATTGGTCTGCAATGGGAAATGTACCTCAACTTCCAGATTGAGTAGCTGACTTCTTAAGAGGCATTAATACTTTGTCCTTCTGGATCGAGCAAAACTGTCAAAGTCAACAGGAGACTGAGGTGGAAGAGAGAAAGCGGAGGAAGAATGGCAGCTATACCGATCATCAGAAAATAGTATATCTTCCTATTCTTTTTAATCATCTTATGTATTTTTGTGGTGATCACTTTTACTTCACCTTAGGATGTGCTTGGTTGAGGTAGCCTCGAGCAGTACGGTGTTTCCTGGCTCTTGAGTCATCGTGGCATTTAATAAGGCCTACTTTACTATCTCTGGTGTCTGTTGGTGAATTTGATCTTTGAACTTTTGTTTATAGGCATTGATCATCTTTTGGCACAACATATTGCACACTTATTTATTCGAGACCCGTTGACTTTGTTCGAAGAGAAAATACATCTAGATGATGCAAATGAATCTGATCATTTTGAGGTTGTATCTTGTTTCATACCAATTTAATGACTGTATGGTTATAATTGCATACTCACTATTTTACTGCTTAATCATGTAGTGCTGAGTACTTCGTAGCGAAGAATATTGGCAAAATTTAGCGGCATAGGCAGGAACTAGGAACAAAAGTAGCTAGTTTCAAATGTTCCAAATAGTTCTTTACAACATGCAATTTCTGATATTGCACTGACACAAACACCTATTTCTATGAACTTATAAAATGTTTAATTCCTCATTCAAGACAAATAATAGCTCTCACTTTAAACCTAGTGAAACGCAGACCAGCACTAGTAATTGCAGTGAAAATAAGCAAGGAAAAAATTAGAGACTATAAAGGCACAAACAGTAGTTAACTAGGTAAGGAAAACTGTCAATGCCATATGTCGTCTTTCATAAAATAGCTTTATATCAGGTGCTCTCTCATTTTATTATGCCATGTACAGCAACTACATGTTATGTAGTATATTAGATAAAAATCGTATCTTGTATAAATAATTGAGCAATAGAGTCGTAATCTAGTCTAATAATGTAAGTGTGGATCTTTAGTTTTGTTATGTTTTAACTGCTTATAAAAGGTCTACTAAATCTGTGTACATAATGTCTCATGTAAGGCTTAGTCATGGGTATTTTTAGTAAAAAATTATGGACAGGTCACAGGCAATAAACAAAACTTCACGGCCCATGATCTGTCCATGACTTTTACTATAAATACCTCTAACTAAATCTTAGCTGACCCGGGGGGAGGGGCGCCGCTGCTCTGGGGGGCCCCGGGAGGCGACAGCTGGCTCCTGCTCCAGCAGTGGGGGCTGACTGCCCCTAGCCACCCTCTGCTCCGAGGCCTCCAGGGACCACTGCTCTGATGGCCTCCGGGGCCGCCACCAGGACTGCTGCTGCTCTGGCAGCCCCTTGGGCCAATTGACCAGGGCCACCCCAGCAGTGGCTGGTGCAGCTGGCCCTGGGGCCGCCCCAGCAGCTGGTGCTATGGCCAGTTCTTCGGGCGGCCCTGGGGCCAGCCACTTCAGAAGTTATGGTGGTCCCAGAAAGCCGTGACCTCTGTGACAGACTCTCAGCCTTATTCAGATGTAGTCCAAAATTGAATTTCGTGGGCAGTGTGGCATAATGTCATTAGAGTGATGATTCTTCATTCCACCTTTAAATAGGTCAAGCCTCTTTAAGTGTTTCTTGGTCATTTGAATGTCTCTTGGTTGAAAGACAGAAGATAATCCAGTTTTGTTTTTACATATATGCATTATGGAAATGTGCTTGTCTGTAACAGAATATCTTACTTGTGACTTGCAGAATATTCAGTCCACAAACTGGCAGACAATGAGATTTAAACCACCTCCTCCGAATTCAGATATTGGATGGAGAGTAGAATTTAGGCCCATGGAGGTAAGGAGTAAATATGCTTAATACCATATCCCATTACAAATGGAAAAGTACGAGGCATTCTGCTATTTAGTATCAAAACCTTATTATTTATGGTGTGATTTGTCCCCTCTGAATTGCTAGTCTTCTGAAGTGAAATGGACAACAGCATTTAAGCAAATATGCACAATAAATATTGGACTGAAACTAGCAGGGGAATTTGCATTAGCAAAGTAAAGAACACTAATGAGAGTAAGGGAGAGGGGAAAAAGTCAGACCTATATATTAAAGCAACTGTAAACAAGGCTTTAATGTTGTATTGAGTTTCTGGTGGCCTTGCTTCTCTTGTGCTTCTGTCAGTACTAAACAGATCTTGGTGCATTCCCTTCTGTTTCATGTGTGCTTGTATTTTATAGGTGTCTTGTAACTTAGTTCTCTAGATTAACACTTTAAAAACTTTAAGACGTTTCATTTTAATAACCTGTGGGTTCAGACTCTTTGCATGATTAGCCATCCTTTTAAGTGCAGGACTGTGGTTTTGGTTTTGTATTAGAGGGTTCAGTTTACAGACGTGCATGTGTATTTTGGCATATACCCGACTTGGACTCTCAATTAGGAATTTGAGCATCCAGACCCCAACTCTGGGCATGCAGTAGTGTGTATGAAAAATTGACCCAAAGTGTGTAAACTTGCTATGCAGCTATTTATTTTTGTTTATCAAGCCTATTCCACTAAACTCACTTTAATTTTGTTAATGTCTAGGTTCAGTTAACAGACTTTGAAAACTCTGCATATGTTGTGTTTGTGGTATTGCTAACCAGAGTGATTCTGTCATATAAACTGGATTTTCTCATTCCTTTGTCCAAGGTAAGAGAGATGCTGTACATTTAATTTTTACTTCTGTAAGCTAGTTAGAAAATGTAGTGTTTCTCAGTGAAAGTGTAAGGACAGTATTTCTACATCACTAAATCCCTCTTCATCTAGATCAAATCTGTGTGTGGCGGGGGGGGGGAGGCTGACGGTGAAATATAGATTAATACAGTTTAACTCCACATACTATATAGATGGATTGGGTGAAAAATCAAAACAAAAACATCTTCAAGTGAGTTGTTTGCATATATAAATACAAATTATTTTTCCTATGAAAATGTGGTGGTCTTTCCTAAGATCAGATGCACCATTAATACCCTGTACAATATTAACAGGGATATGCATAGTTTTAATTAATATTATATTAAAATGGGGCATCTCCAAGGCTTTAGGCACCTCTGCTGTAAATTACAAAAACAAAATTAGATTGTCCCCAGGGTGCCAAACTTCCCTCTCCCCTACAAAGCTGACTTTTCCTACAGGCCAAACTCTGCAGCAGCCCAAATATATACATGCATCTTGCAATGTGCTCCAAAAGTCAGTAGACTTGGGACTAATTAGGTTCAAGAGAAAAGCTCATCCCAGAGCTGAGGCCTGTCACCAAAAACTCCCTTCTCTTAGCCACTCTGGTTTGTTTGTGTATGTCTAGGGCTGCTTCTTTTCATCTTTAACCAATAAACACCGGTAAAACATCTACAATGGTAAAAGAAAAAATAAATGTTTGTTTATCCAATAAACACCAGTAATTGTTATTTATATCTAAGTTTGTCTACACAGAGCAGTAATGCAGACTACGGCGGTGTGATTTCTAAAGCGCACTATTTGGTCCATGTGACCCTGCTGTTGCACTCAAGATTCCCTAGTGCTCTTTAATATCGTGTTACTTGAAACAGTACTATGTTAAAGAAGTACAGAGAAAGTACTTGTTACAGTATAATATATAGAAAGAGAGAGCCCTAAAACCCCTTGCCCCTGATTTTTTGACATCTACATAAAACTCAAAAAAATGCTAAAAGACAAACCCTGAAAATGATCTTAATAAACCTCCCAAAATAGAAGCCTTGCATATACCGTAATAAAGGATCAAGGATAAGTGATCTGAATCACACACGTAAGCCCTTAAAGACAGGTTTCAGGGCCAAGCGGTCAAAAGTGCTGAATCCTGGCTTCCCCCCCACCCCACCCAAAAAAAAAAAAAAAAGAAAGAAAGTATCCTGAGGCAGACACCAGCATGGAAAATTTCAGTCCAAACAGTTTGCTAAAATTATAAGCAACTCAAAAATAGTGGGCCTTATAATAGGAAATGTTGGGCAACCTTAATAAGAGGCGGAGGTACCAGCCCTGCCTAATGTATATTAGCATTTTATTGCTTGTATTAATATTTTACCACTTTAATTATTTTTTTAAGTGAAATGTTCTCTTTTTAAAGTCTTCACTTTAAAAGACTTTAAAGTGTTTCTCCTTTCAAGTCTGATGTTCAGACTTGAAAGGAGAAACTCTTTCTCTTTGTGGAGTCGGGGATACAGTTTTCGCAAATAAGGAGCAGAAAGAAATCTTGCATCAAACATTGGAATTTAAAATTACCCAATACCATGGGTATGCAGTTTTATGCAGAGAGAAACTAACAAGTACTATGCAAGCCAGCAATATATAAAGCACCACCGAAAACATGAAGTGCCTAATAAATCATGGGCAAGAACATTAGTTAGTTAATGAAAGCCAGTTATGACTACAAAACAGATCATGCACAGTGTGAACCTAGACCTAGTGAACCTAGACCTAGATCTGAGAAATTTGGCAGACATCACAACAGAGAATTACTGGACCTTCATAACTTGTCTTTGTTACTTGTAAGAACAAGGATGTTATGAGGCTAATCTTGAACTGATCTCTACTTTTGGGTCATGTGGGATTATACTTCAGCCACCTAGAGTGCTTTTAATCTTTCAAAACAGCCATGAGACACCCTTCAGAACATACACAAACTGATTAGTAAAAGATATAATAAAATAAGTAAGAGGGCAAAAGATTTTTCTCCAACTGTCCAAAATATATATTTTTTAAAATATCATTTTAATTTTGCTGAAAGTTTTTTGCATCACATTGAGAGAGGAGAAGACAAACTGAATGTAGGAAATCCTCTTCCTTTTTCCAGAGGCTACACTAATGTTAGCTGCTTGAAAGTGGACTACTACTAACTCCCCAATAATCATATTGATTGAAGAATTTGGGCATAATCTGCCCAGAAGCTATTCAGAGGCTAAGATTTTAAAATTTTCAACCAACATTTTAGTTGGCTTGTACATAAAGTTAAGATTTTGTCACTGGTATTTTTAGTAAAAGTCATGGACAAGTTGCAGGCAATAAACAAAAATTCACAGAAGTCCATGATCGGTCCCTGACTTTTACTAAAAATACCCGGAGGGAGAGTTGACTAACAGTCGGAGCCACTGCTCCAGCCCTAGCAGCTGAAGAATATGAAACAGGAAATGCCAATTTTAGAAAAACAAATCATAACCTCTTATTCCAACTGTACTCATTTAATTACACCTAAATATCAAAAGAAGCTTGCCTGACAAGACACACGTTCCTCTGTTTGTTTACTCCGGTAGGTAAAGTGCCCATTTTCTAGCATCTGATAAATAACCTTTGCGATTTTCCCCTTACTAGGTTGATGAAAATATGAAGGTAGCCCAGAAACGAGATGCTGTTCGGCAGGGAATGTTTTATTTCAGAAAAGATATTTGTAAAGGTACTGCACTTACTGCTTTCAGATTACTTGCTAAGGGCCAGTTCAAGAGATGCACAAAGTTAATTGTTTTGCTTTTCCCCCTTCTTCTTTGATAAGGTGGAAATGCTGTTGTAGATGGATGTGGCCCAGCACAGAATGGGAAAGAGACAGATGCAGAAGAGTACACCTTGATGAGCATAGACACAATCATCAATGGAAAGGTGTGGTGGTAGTTTATATTTGGAACACTGAACTGTTTTCCTTATTCACAAATTACATCAAGTGAGTTTATACTGGTCATGTGTTATTTCTTGCAGGATGGTGTCTTTCCTGGCTTAATCCCAATTCTAAACTCTTACCTCGAAAACATGGAAGTGGATGTGGACACAAGATGCACCATTCTGAACTACCTGAAGTTAATTAAAAAGAGAGCCTCTGGTATGACTAATGCTTATATGTTGGATGCAAAGAAACTTGACTGTGAATTTCCTGATTTTTTTCCCCCCAATTGTATGACATTTTAAATAAATCTTTTAGATAATTTCTAATGTAAAGAGGGACTTAATCTACTGTAGCAATTTTGAATATTATTAATTTGTTATCTTTCTGCACCTGTTGAATCATGAATCCTTACCAACACTTGGGTCTGTGGGGTAGTGCTGCATAATTCTGTTGTCATACCAATTTTGCTAATCACGCTGGCAGCATAATTTAGCATTAATATGGTGCAGTAGAGCATGGAGCCTTGTCTTTGGGTGTCTTATAAAACAAGCAGGGAGTCCTGTGTCCTTTGGTCCCGAAAGCTACTTACGGGATATTATTTAAAGAAAAAAGTCTTTTAAACCCCTATTTTTACCTCATCATAGCTTTAAAAATATTTGTTCAGATATGCAGTGTTGGGGATCCCCAAGATGTCGAAATCAGTTTTGACTCCAGTCTCGGGTTGCTTTATTTGGCGTACAGCAAAGCTACACTGAGTTGATCACGCTCAAGTATAGTGGATGGGTATATAGTGTACCACGTATCCAAAGTTATACAGCAAACCTCTTCCTTCATATATTTACACATTGCATTGAATTTACATCACCTCTTTTGGGCTTGGCTTGGCTACTTTGTGTGAAACAATCGCTGTAAAGCATGCTCTGTTCACGCAGTGTCCATGCACAATGTACTTTTTACCTCATCTTTACTTTCCCTACTTATCTTAGCCATTGTTACCTTGTCCATTATTAATGGCTCCTTAGGTGTTCCCCAGAATCTTAGCTGGGACAGATATTGTTTCCAACCTGATGATCCATTCACCTCCTTATTCCCGTCTCCCAAGAAATGAGGTCTCACCCATGTCAAATTATTCATGTCAAGCCAGGCCTACATGCAGTAGGCTGTTTTTTCATGCCCATTGATTGTTTTTTCTACAGTGTACCATGTACATTGAGAAAAGGAGAGTTTTAAACATTTTATTCAAGTTAGGCATAAACAGATAAACTTGCCTACAAGAGTCTGTATGTGCAAATACCATGGTGTGTGCGCCTGGTCTCTAAACCACCGTAAGTAGTAACGGTAAGGGCTGGTTTTCAGTCTTACTGAAAGATGAATCTCTCGACTCATGACCTCATAAACAATTTCACATTTTTGAAAATGCTATAGAAACTTGTAGCTAAATGGCATTTTAAAAAATAAGATGAAAATAAGGACTTGCTACATTATAAATTTAATATTACAAGTAGATGTTGCTATACTTGCTTTGGTAATCTCTAAGAATAATTTTTTTGGGGGTGTGGTGGTGGTGTTCGTCCATCAGTCATTCACCCACTCAGCATCTGACTTCTACTGTAGTTGTTTCCTCATTAGAACTAACTCCGTTCATCTCTCTCTTCTGGTCTCTAAGTCTGAAGTGCTACTAACATCAGCTTGTGTAGTAAACTCTTATGACAGTCTTCAAGTATGTAAAAGGTTGTTATAAAGAGGAGGGTGATAAATTGTTCTCCTTATCCACAGAGGACAGGACAAGAAGCAATGGACTTAAATTGCTCCAAGGGAGATTTAGGTTAGACAGTAGGAAAAACTTTTCCTGTCAGTGTAGTTAAGCTCTGAAACAAATTACCTAGGGAGGCTGTGTAATCCCCGTCATTGGAGGTTTTTAAGAAATACATGTCAGGCATGGTCTAGACAACACTTAGTCCTGCCTCAGTGAGGCGGACTGGAGTAGATGACTGGTCCCTTCCAGTCCTATGTTTCTTTGAATTTGGGTGTTTTTGATACTGAAATGACACTGAATGTTTAATATTACACTTTTATGTCCAAAAATTGAAATTTATAACAGAAAAAACATTAGATGTGTCTTAACATGTTGTGGCAGTTTTTTAGGCACAAGCTCTGGAATTTCCTAGTTGTTCCCAGTACCTCCTTAGGGTCCTATGGGTCAGAAGTTCCTGAACGGTGGTCCATGCGCAGCTATCTGGTTGCTAATGTTGTCTACGCCAGACAGTCTTCCTTAAATTTCCTACTATTGTTGCCACTGGTGTAGTTCCACCAGAGGTAGCAACATCGTGAGCACTAGCATAGATTAAAAATTGGCACCTTAGCTACTGTTATCTAGCCCTGCTCTGGTATAGGTAGACAACGGTGTTTATAGTGCCAGCAGCTTGTCGACCCTAGCACTCCCATTAATGGAACTGTACAGGTGGAAAAGCTAAGGAAATATCTAATACACCTCTACCGCGATATAACGCGACCCGATATAATACGAATTTGGATATAACGCGGTAAAGCAGCGCTCCGGGGGGGCGGGGCTGTGCACTCCGGCGGATCAAAGCAAGTTCAATATAACGCGGTAAGATTTTTTTGGCTCCCGAGGACAGCATTATATCGGGGTAGAGGTGTATAGACAGAGCCATACTGGAGGGTCTCCTTGTTTCTAGCAGCTAAATTGTATTAAAACAGATTAAAAATATTAGTCATCTTGATTTTTAATACGCATAATTGCTGTAGAGATGTGATTACAGATAGTTTGACACTTGGTCTCTGAGACAATTTCTCTGTTAAAATGTGCTGTTGTATGAAGAGTTTGACAATTGCTGCCTTAAATTGTCTGCTTTTCCCATTGTTGCATTCTGATTTTTTAGGTTCTTGTATAGTTTCTGTTATGCAAGCTCATAAATGTATCTTGATATTTTACTTCTGAAACTTTGAAAGTAAAACTTCTAGGATATAGATTGTTCTAGATAAGTGTGACTTCTAGTGTCTGTGTCGGGAGTGTGCTTGGTGTATGTCCTTCAATATGCGTCTATAGTGAGTTCATGGTTTTTTGTTTTTTGGGTTTTTTATGTGGCTAGACTTTACTATGAAGCATATGTGATGCTCATGAATATAAAGTGTGCATGTAATTAGAAATACTTGCAGGTATGTAATGTACTAAATAAAGCAGATGCTAAATGCAATGTATACATGTCTATAATATGATTTTTATTTACGTTTTTCTCCTTTCAGGAGAATTAATGACAGTTGCTCGGTGGATGAGGGAGTTTATTGCAAACCATCCTGACTACAAGCAAGATAGTGTGATCACTGATGAAATGAATTACAGCCTTATTAGGAAATGCAACCAAATTGCACAAGAAAAAGCAGAGTGCCCTGAATTACTTGGAGTAGGATTTAAGAAAATAAAACACAGTGGAAATAAAACTAGCTCTTTTTAATGAAATGCTTTAATACCTAGTAGAAAGTGTAAACATTCTAGTGAAGAATGAGTTACAGTACTGTGTATCCAGTAGTTTCAGGTTGTGAAGACCAAAACAGGTAGTACTGCACCTAACTTGGGCCAATCTGCCTAGATATTCATTTAAGGCTTCCTAAAATGGGCATATTCTTATTGTTAAGGTTTATACAGTGTACATGTAAATAGTAAAATATTTTTATGACTAACATCAGTGTATTTTAATAACATTGTACCTAAAGTTGTTGTGAACCAGCTTGTAACTTTTTTATGCTTATTCTGGAAAAAAAAATTACTGTCCTGAACAACTTCATAAATGTAATATAATGGTACTTGTATATTATATGCATTCCAGATATTGAATGTTCACTGTAATTTTTTGTTACCTGGAATGTACTAATCTACCTAATTTTAAAGAAAATTTTGGGACCTGATTCACAGAACTTCCCTTTCCATCCTCCGTTGAGTATATAAAACAGAATAAATTGACATGTTCCCTATTTGTTCATCTTTGTGCCAGTCCCTTGGCTACCACAACACCTGCATGCACTCATCAACCACAGACCAGTAGAATCTGCTCAGTCTTCACTCAAATATGCAAAATCTGCTCATTTCCTGATGAGCAGAGCCTAAGGGATGGCCTGACAAGGCTCTTTAGGACAACCACACCACATGCACAAAAGCTTCAGAAATAAATGCATCCTTTACTGGATATAGTTTTACAATTCTGGTAAATTCCTGTGCTCTAACAATTCCAGAAATAGATTTTACCGTGGGTGAAAGTCTTTCAATTTAAACATGGAGAGAGAGTGAGAACTGGAATGCTTATGTGAAAGGTGAAATGGCTGAGAAGTCTGCTCTATTTTGTGCTGCTCTTTAGTTTTATTTTTTTCCAACTGCTGCTGTTCTAAAGTCAACAGAGTGCAACACAAAAGCAAGATGAGAACATATATTAATTCCTTTTCTAGCCTAAGGCTCTCCTCCACCCCTGATTTTACTAAATGTTTCCGTTGTCAACACACTAACTTACTAATAACTATTATTGAGCATTGTAAGCACAGGTTAATCCCTGCATAAAATCAATCTAAAGAGAAATCATGGAATGCACTAATCCTTTTGTGAATTGGGAACCTGCAGTTTAGAGAGATTGTAAATAATTTAGAACTTGACCATTACAGCTGTATATAACCTAAATTTATGGGGACTTTTTAATTTAGTTTATTAAATGGCTTCTAAAAGTGACTTACTGTATGGTAGATTATGCAAAGTTTAATACAAGCATATATAAATATCTAAGGTGTAATCATTTTAAAAAGGAACTAATGGAGAAATTGTAATGATGCTGCACCAGAAAAAGCTTTTATGTATCAATATTATAACTTGTGCTGTGTTCATAGGTGTGCTTTAGAGAATGAAAGAATGCCTGTTTCTGTTTTTGGTGAACCTGTTTTAATCAAGATGTAGATGGCAGGTGATATGCTCATTAGTTTGTGGAATAAGGAAATAAAAAATGAACTTTGCAGTATATAGTGGTTGTTTGGATGTATATAAAGAATATCCATACCAGAGTGGAAACATTTTCTTGCCACAAGTGCAGCAAATAACTTCTTTTCAGAAAATTCCCCATCGCTGTGATTGTCGTTTCTAGCAAATTAAGCAGCAGTGGAAGTAATGAGTACTTGGATGGAAGACTTCTAAGGGAAGCCAGAGTACAGTAGGAAGAGGTGTGTGTTGATTTATGTGGCACTCCTCTCTTGAATTGACACTGAAGAAATACTCCAGCATGATACTAGGTCACAATGCTGTTGGAAATAATCTTTCAAGGTTTAAGACCAAATGTGGTTTAGATTCCATGGTACATCTTAAATATATAATTTTTTTTAAGCAAAACCCCCCAAAGACTGTCACTTATGTACAACCCATACCTAACAGAGTGATGCTGGTGGGCAGAGGAAAGCATTTTGAAGAGTTCTCAACCATAGTGCAGTCTCCTTTGGTTGAAGGTACACATCCACAATTGTTCAATTCAGTCCATGGCTTAGGAGTGCTTCCTGGATTCCTCACTGTTGCTAAGCTCTTACATAGCAACATCTTTGAATAATTCTTTCTATCATCCCTGGGTGGCTAGGAGACTCCATCCCATCTTGAACGATGACCTGGTGTTATAACTTGGGGAATGTATGTACAACTTATATAATTCAGGTTGATGTTATGAAATTGCTGCCTGGAAAGCCTTAAGGTATGTCTTCACTACCCCCCGGATTGGTGGGCAGCGATCGATCCAGCGCGGATCGATTTATTGTGTCTAGTCTAGACGTGATAAATCGACCCCCGAGCACTCTCCCGTCGACTCCTGTACTCCACCACCACAAAAGGCACAGGCAGAGTCGACGGGGGAGCAGCAGCAGTCAACTCACCGTAGTGAAGATACCACGATAAGTCGATCTAAGTACGTCAACTTCAGCTACGTTGTTCTCATAGCTGAAGTTGCATAACTTAGGTCAATCCCCCTCCCCCGCCCCAGTGTAGACCAGGGCTTAGGGTATGTCTACACTACGGGATTAATCCGAATTTAGATAATTCGAATTTGGGAAACAGGTTGTATAAATTCGATTGTGCGCGGCCACACTAAGCACACTAATTCGGTTTTTAACCACATTAATTCGGTGGTGTGCGGCCACACTACCCCATTAATTTAACCACATTAATTCGGTGGTGTGCGGCCACACTAACCCTAATTCGAATTAACAAAATCGATTTTGGCGCTACTCCGCTCGTCGAGGTGGAGTACAGAAATCGATTTTAAGTGCCCTTTAATTCGAATTAACTGGCTCTGTAGTGTGGACGGGTGAAGGGTTAATTCGGATTAACGCAGCTAAATCCGAATTAAAGTCGTAGTGTAGACCAGGCCTTAGTGTGTAGTGAGACAGCCATGAATTGACAGGGACTGTAGTATGTCCCTCACAGACCAGCTACAACTGTCAGTTTTTAACCCTCAATGGCCACCTATTCAGGTGGAAACACCTTAGGACAATGGGATGGCTGAAGCCTCAGGAAACTAGTTCAACCAAGATTGTCTGCAGGGAAGGGTCCTGGGGAGTGGCAAAAGAACAAATAAACCAAGGTGCTGCTGCTAGACTTTAAACTACAGAGGCCTGGTGGATCAGGGAAGACTCCCAGATACACACAGAAAACTTTGGGCAGGACACGAGCATGCTTTTGTAGTGGGGAAAAGGGCTTATTTTGACTGCAGGACCAGCTGGGGAAAAAGAAACTAGCTGATCTGGAGCAGAGAGAGAGAGAGAGACTCCATGATTCAGAAAAGAAACCAAGTTCAGGAGAGGGAATCTAGACTCTACAGAGGACTCTGCCCTAAGTTCAGAGAACTCTCCAGAGTGGTGAGGAAAATGAGGCAGGTAAATGCCTATGGGGTATTTATTTTTTGTCTAGTTCTGTGTTTCTCCCAGGCTATCTAAGTAAAGAACAATGGCGTGTTAGAATTCTGTGCAAAATCTATCTGTGTCTGTTTGCTTTTACTATTGTGCCCCTGAAGAGTTAAACTGCAAATCCAGAGTGCCCCTATGGTTGGAGTTCTGGGAAAAGGTGTGCTTAAGTTACAGGAAAGTCTGAGAGGGTCAACACTGGTCCTGACAGTCTATGGCAGTTGGACTGTGTGGTCCCAGCTGGACAGCCTATGCCCTGTGAATGTGCTGGAGATGCCAAAGACAGTGCTGGAGCCTACTCTGATCAAGGGAGACTTAAAGCACATGGGTCCAGTGGACTGGAACCCAACACAGTAGTCTAGTGTGAGTGTCCAGCAGACTGTGATTTACCAGGGCTGTGTGTAGGACACCTAGCCTCAGTTATTCATACCTTCATCACCTCTTGGTTGAACTACACCAATGCAATATACCTGGGCATGAAGCCTTCAGTACTTAGGAAACTCCATCTAGCACAGAATCCTGCAGTGCATCTCTTCAGCTACTGGCTACTGCAACTACATCAGACTTGTCTTCCACTCCTTGCACTGGCTGCCAATAGAATAGCTAGTCAAGTTCAAGGACTCAGTCCTTAACTTCAAAGCTTGACGGCCTGGGCCCAGGGAATCTAAAAGATTGATTTAAACTCCAGGATGAAGACCAGGGACAACAACTTTGCACCTGTGGCACAAAGGAGCTTTCTACAATAAGGGTAAAGGTTGTTTGTGCGACAGACAGAACTTTCTTGGGTACTGCTCTGAGACAATAGAATGAACTCTTCCAGGAACTAAGGATCATCACAAAGCTTACCATCATCTATCTGCTCTATAAGTGCAAGGAACATTTCTTTGACCTGCCTTCTCTAACATATGTGTGCAAAAAATATTCCAAAACAAACCCCTCCTCTGCGCACACTCTCCATGGGGAGTGGATGAGGGAACAAACATGTAACGGAGGTTAGTCATGTTGCTTAACGCATTACTGGAAGGTGCTCAGATACTACAGTGAGGAGGGCCATATAAGAACATATATACAATAGAACAGAATTGAAAAAGGAGTATAAACAGGTGTATAAAGTCTGAATCCAGAGGCATTTCAAACTTAAAAACCAAAACCAACAACTTGATAATTTCCTGGATATTTTTTTTTAATAAAAAGCTACTTTGAAGAACACTATAGAAATGACTTATCTGCAAGTAACCACTTTTTAAAAAAAAAATTGGTACTGTAACTTTTAAAAACATAATACATTAGCACCCACTAGTGGTCAAATCCGGTACAGTATCATGTAAATGTATAGCAGAAACAGCAATTCAACCATATCAGGCATGGCCATACTGGCTCGTGAGCTGCATGTGGCTCTTTCACAGTTAAAGTGGGGCTCGCAGAGCCCCCATGCACTCCCCCCTCCCCATTCTCCACCTACCAGACTGGGTGGGGGACACTCAGGGCTTCTGCCCTGCAGTGGGGTAGTGGAACTAGGGGCTTCTGCACTGCAGGGACGGGAATCTAAGGGCTTTAGCCCTGCAGGGAGGTATCAGGGCAGAAGCTCCACGCTCCAGCAGGCGCCACTTGTGCATGTCTTGCAGTTCTGGAACTTCTGAAGATTATTGTATGCAGCTCGGAGGGTCAGTAAGTTTGACTACTTCTGAACTATATATATTATACAATGGAAACAAATAGGCATATTAGCATTATAACATTGATCACTCATTTAAATTAAAGTAAAATAGGCTATCATTCTTGGCAGTTCTCAGCCCAACAGAGTTTTACTAAAAAATAAAAACAAAACAAAAAAGTAAGTTAATTATGTTGTGCTTTATTCAAACTAGCCTTAATATATGTACTTGGCAGGGTTTTTTGGGGGACTTATGGTTGGTTATAGTGTTATTTATCCCTTCACATAACACAAGAACTGGAGGTCATGCAATGAAATTAATAGCAGGTTTAAAACAAATAAAATTAAATACTACTTCACACAATGCAGTCAACCTGTGGAACTCATTGTCAGGGAATGTTGGGAAAGTCTAACTGAGTTTAAAAAAAGAATTAGATAAATTCATGGAGGATAGGTCCATCAACGACTACTAGCCAAGATGGTCAGGGATGCAACCCCATGCTCTGGGTGTCCCTAAGCCTCTAACTGTCAGGAGGAGCTGGGACTGGATGTCAGGGAGTGGACCACTCAATAATTGCCCTGTTCTGTTCATTCCCTCTGAAGCATTTGGCATTGGCCACTGTCAGAAGACAGAATACTGGGCTAGACGGACCATTGTTCTGACCCCATATGGCCATTCTTATCTTCTTATGTTCTTATGACTCAACTGGCAAGTCTTGGGATAG